AGTAGTTCCTTCTCGAGGAGGGCAATGGTGAGCTCAGTGGGGCAGCGAGCTAGGAAGTGATCCCTGACTGAGCGCAGAGAGTCAGGGAGGCGGGTGACGATGTGGTAGAGAGTGAGCCAGAGCGGGGGGGGGTTCCTAGCAAGGAACTCATCGGGCATAGCAGCGCGGAAGCGGGCCTCACTAGTCTTGAGGTGGGTGATGAGGTCAGCAACTGTGTGAAAGGAGGCCAGGTCGGGGAACAGGTAGGGGAGTGAGAGGCGGCCTAGTGCGGCAGAAGCAGGTGAGGAGTAGCGAGCAACGACAGCAGTGTACAGTTCCTGTGCAGTCTTGTGCTGGCCAAAGTGCTCGCGCTCATCTATCGGCAAGGAGTTGCGAATAGCAAAGCGAGCGTGGGCGTCACGAGTCTGCCACTGTGAGCGGGCAGTGCTGTCAGCAGAAGTATCAGGGGCAGTAGCATGGCCTAGGGCGTGATCGTACAGTGAAATGTCCTCCTTGGCAGTGAGCTGTAGGAAGAGGTGTAGGTCATCTAGCCAGGTGTCGAACTTCACTGGGCGGCCCTCAGCATCGAAGGCTAGCACAGGAGGGCTAGCCATAGTAGCAGTAGGAGCAGTAGTGGTGGGTGGAACAGTAGCAGCGTCAGTAGCAGTGACAGCAGCAGCAGTAGCGCGGTTGGGCAGTGCAGGGCCGGGGCAGCAGTGACGGCGGCGGCAGCTGCTGCAGGCTCGGCGGCGGCAGTTGCTGCAGTCTCAGCGGCGGCTGCTGCTGCAGGTTCGGCGGCGGCAGCTGCTGCAGGGTCGGCGGCGGCAGCTGCTGCAGGTTGGGCGGCGGCAGCAGCTGCAGGCTCGGCGGCGGCAGTTGCTGCAGTCGCAGCGGTGGCAGTTGCTGCAGGTTCGGCGGCGGCAGCTGCTGCAGGGTCGGCTGCGGCAGCTGCTGCAGGCAGAGGCCGCACCAAAGGGAGGGGCGGCACTCCCGCGCAGGACCGCGGTGAGTGGCAGCGCCAAGCAGCAGCGGCGGCCGGGAAAGGGACGGCAGCTGCTGCTGAGGCGGCGACGAGGCCGAGAGGGGCCGCGAAGGGCGGCGACGGGTCCTGGAGGGGCCGCGAAGGGCGGCGACGGGGCCGTAAGGAGGCCGCGCGGGACGGTGAACGGCGGCGACGGGGCCGCGAAGGGGCGGCGACGAGGCCGCGAAAGGGGCCGCGAAAGGGGCCGCGAAAGGGGCCGCGCAGGGCCGTGAGAGAGGGTGCCACGATGGGCCTTAAGAGGGGTCGCGAGGGGCCTGACGAGGGGCCGCGAGGGGACCTTAAGAGGGGCCGCGACGGGCCGCTAAGGGCAGGCGCACGGGGCGCGACTAGGGTAGGCGCGAAGCGCGCTCCGGGCAGGAAAAAAATTATTCGTTTTCAGTGGTGGGCCCTAGGAAACTATCCTGCTCTATACCATGTTGGAACTAGAGAGGAAGGAATGTCAATTAGGTAAGGGGAGGGGGTACAAGACAATCGAGAGAGTTTGTATTGTTGTACCCTCTAAGGAATCACCCCTACACAACCTAGAGAGAAATAATCAGAAGCATATAATTTGACAAATTTGCACTAAAAGAACCGCTGCCTCGTAATGTCTCCCACCATAAAGTGGTGCTACTAGGGCTTACAGAGCAGCAGGAGGCAGAGGAGAGTCAACGCGCGGCGCTTTATGATGCCGCCTGGTCTGGTCTCGAATGCTCAGGGTCGTCCGCTAGGGTTTCGTCAGAACCACTAAAACCGAGTCACTGAAAACGAGTCACTGGCACAGTTGCAGACTCAGTAAGAATGCTTCTCGGAATACCTTCTGATTGAAACAGCGTGGTACTACTACTTATAGTACCACTAGGGTCTTTGAATGAAGTAGGTGGTAGCATTTCGAATTGCCCGTTTTTCTGAAAGCCGGTCGAAGCGGCCTGCCTACGTGCACGAACTGACACGTTGCACATCATAGTGACACGTTGGCAGGCCGGCATAAAGCACTCGACGAGTGATACATAACAACCAGTAGGCCCGATTGTTACGCAATGCAACCAGTCAGCGAGTGACACCTAAACAATCGGATGCCACGAAAGATAAGGCGTTTCAGATCCTCACTTGGGCGCCTTCGGGCAGGATGCATCATGCACGCTCGAAAGTCAATTCATGCGACGATGATCAATCGCATAGTCAAATAATGAACAGCAGAACGGCAGCGCCGAAAACCTGATTATTGTCACCGCACGACGACGTTCCTCAGCAAACGGGCAGTACCAGTACGACAACGATCTTCGACAGCGCGCATCTCGAATCGCTTGATAAGTCGCGGCTATTACGGGCGGGCAACTAACAAGGCTAAACTGCTTCGAGGAATTTAGGGCGTGTTCGTTCCGTTGCTAAGTTCGAAAAAAAGTTCGAACCTTTGCTGGTTGCCAATTTCGCAAAGAACATCTCACAAACATCGCCAATTTTAAGGCTTATAAAAGTTCGAACTTGAAACGTAAACTTGACTCGAGTTGGCGTTGTGAGCGTGCGTGCGCAAGTTCATGTGAGCGTGTGTGTTTTCGGCACGTACGAACACCATGCGAAATTGACGACAACATCGCGAAACAAAAAGTGGCATTATTTTGACTTGGCGGCGAGCATGTACCGGGTAACATGAAGGTTCAAATTCTGGTGTTCGACCTTGCGTGTGTGATTGCATCTTCACAGTGTTATTCCCGTAATTCTCGAACTTCGCTACAAGGAAAGTCGAATTTCATTTGACTTAGGTTAAAAAAAAATATTCGCCCCCCAAAACATGAACTTTGTCCAATTTGAAGGAACGTTCGCGCCCTTAGTTTCGCCACGCTGCTTCCACGAATTGAAAAAGGCCACGTTGCTGCTAGGAATTGATTGGGTGATTCGGGATGACGTCAAATCCCCGCTTCTAGTTTGCATGCATACATGCGATTATAAAAGAATATGAGATTATATTATACAGCTGTAGTCCAAACAATGTGTCCAAATTCAGAAGTTTGAAGTATCAACCATTGAGCATATTGTGTTTTTATATAAGCAACAAAACAATACTGTAACATGATTTTACACCTAGTTAACACACTTCATCGAGCATGGGAGATCTCAAAGTGCCTAATATTATCTAATATTAGCATGTTATTGTGCCTACAATCGGCTCTGTGACACCTTGAAACATGCTAGTGAGTGAAATAGATAAGGTAGCTGTTTTTTGTATGACCAAACAGTACTGTGAAACGTCTTATAAAGCTCGCTTAACATACCGCTTGCTCGCCTACAAGCCCCATCGAGTATTGCACGATGAGCAGCAGGGGACCAGCACCGCGCTCCTCGCTCACACGGCGGCCGGCGATGGCGTCTCGCTACCCGCGGACGACGCGGCATTGCTAATTACTGCGCGGAATTCGGCATTTCCTATTCCCGGAGGCTAGAAATCTTTCGAAATCTCTCAAACGCGAACGCCACGGCGTTGCTATTGCCGCGCCTAGGAATCCGCCAGGTTTCTCCTTCGCTGCACGATGACCAGGGGGGAACCGGCCCCGGGCTCGTCGCTCAGGCGCCGCGCTTCGGCGACGAGTCGCTATCCGTGGACGACGCGGCAGTGCCTCGTGTGCGTGCTGGCGGTAGCCGCTCTGAACGTGCTGCTCTTCCACCTGCACGGTGCGTGTCATTGGAATGCGTGACATGCTTCTGAGAAATCTGAAAAAACTCAGTGATTTGCTGGAATCTCATTTTAAGAATCCCCAAAAGTGACTGAAATAAGAATCTGAGACGCCTCAGTTCTCAAAAGCGACTGAAGTAGCGCCTGAAGTCAAGCGACTGGTTTAGGTCAGAGAGGGGAGTTTGCATGGCACAGGAACAACAGGTGATGTTTCAGATGGAATGTTATAGAGTATTGTGTAGCTACCAGTCCGGTGCAGTGCGGTGTCAGCCATGCAGTGCTACCCAGCCAGTCCAGTACTCTGGTAATTTGTATACCTTCAAGCTTGGCAGCCGGCCTGAGGATGTGCGGTGAGGTGCGGTAAGGTGAGGTGAGGTGCGGTCCAGTGAGTGAGGTGTGGTCAGGTGCGGTATGGGAGGTTGAAGATTCAGAATTCATGCAGTTGGCATCACAAAGGTGAGTTGAAGGTGCTGTCGGTGCCATCTGTTCCATAATGGCATGTAGCGAAGCCTGTTCTTAACGCGTATGAAGTTCCTGCTAGATCCTCATCCCCCTGCCCTTCCTCCTTTCTTCCAACTACGCGCTGATCCCGCCTGCAGGAGACAGTATCGAGGCAGCTTCTAGAGGGTTCCGTGCGCTTATACTGGAGAGCAGTGGGCGCAGGGATGTGAGAGTGGGGGGAGAGGATGCAGACTGGGAGGGGGAGGCAGGCTCGGATGCTGATGGGGTGGAGGGGGGAGAAGGGGGTGGAGAGGCAGAGCCAACAACGGACATCAACATGAAGCGGGTTTATGATGGCATCAAGTTTGCCAACGAGAAGGGCGGGAAGTGGACGCAGGTGAGGGTGGACCCAGCAAGGTGAGTGCAGACTCAGTCACTCAGGTTAGGTGGACTCAGGTGACGACCTTTGAGTCGCTTGAAAGGGGGAGGGGGCGTTGGAGAGGCAGAGCCAACAACGGACATCAACATGAATCGGGTTTACGATGGCATCAAGTTTGCCAACGAGAAGGGCGGGAAGTGGACGCAGGTGAGGGTTGCAGCTGGGGTTGAAACTGGTATATATTTCCTTATATTTTTTTCTTTCTTTCCAGGATTTTTATTTTTCTCATCCCGCTCATCCTTCTCATCCCACCCCATCATCTCATCATCACCCATCTCACCAGGGCTGGAAGCTGCAGTACAAGGGGGACGAGTGGGACGAGGAGCCGCTGAGGGTGTTTGTGGTGCCGCACTCCCACAACGACCCTGGCTGGCTGCTCACAGTCGAGCAGTACTATGCGAGGAGCTCGCAGCACATCCTGCACACCATCCTTCGCTCTCTTTCCCAGGTCAGTCCCTTCTCTCTACTTTCTCTTTTTCAGGCCACTCCCTTTTCAATTCTCTCTGGTTGTAGCGCACCGCACAGCACCGCACTCCCACAACGGCCCCGGCTGGCTGCTGACGGCCGAGCAGTACTACGTGCGGAGCTCCCAGCACATCCTGCACACCATCCTGCACACCATCCTGCACACCATCCTGCACACCATCCTGCACACCATCCTGCACACCATCCTGCACACCATCCTGCACACCATCCTGCACACCATCCTGCACACCATCCTGCACACCATCCTGCACACCATCCTGCACACCATCCTGCACACCATCCTGCACACCATCCTGCACACCATCCTGCACACCATCCTGCACACCATCCTGCACACCATCCTGCACACCATCCTGCACACCATCCTGCACACCATCCTGCACACCATCCTGCACACCATCCTGCACACCATCCTGCACACCATCCTGCACACCATCCTGCACACCATCCTGCACACCATCCTGCACACCATCCTGCACACCATCCTGCACACCATCCTGCACACCATCCTGCACACCATCCTGCACACCATCCTGCACACCATCCTGCACACCATCCTGCACACCATCCTGCACACCATCCTGCACACCATCCTGCACACCATCCTGCACACCATCCTGCACACCATCCTGCACACCATCCTGCACACCATCCTGCACACCATCCTGCACACCATCCTGCACACCATCCTGCACACCATCCTGCACACCATCCTGCACACCATCCTGCACACCATCCTGCACACCATCCTGCACACCATCCTGCACACCATCCTGCACACCATCCTGCGCACCATCCTGCGCACCATCCTGCGCACCATCCTGCGCACCATCCTGCGCACCATCCTGCGCACCATCCTGCACACCATCCTGCACACCATCCTGCACACCATCCTGCACACCATCCTGCACACCATCCTGCACACCATCCTGCACACCATCCTGCACACCATCCTGCACACCATCCTGCACACCATCCTGCACACCATCCTGCACACCATCCTGCACACCATCCTGCACACCATCCTGCACACCATCCTGCACACCATCCTGCACACCATCCTGCACACCATCCTGCACACCATCCTGCACACCATCCTGCACACCATCCTGCACACCATCCTGCACACCATCCTGCACACCATCCTGCACACCATCCTGCACACCATCCTGCACACCATCCTGCACACCATCCTGCACACCATCCTGCACACCATCCTGCACACCATCCTGCACACCATCCTGCACACCATCCTGCACACCATCCTGCACACCATCCTGCACACCATCCTGCACACCATCCTGCACACCATCCTGCACACCATCCTGCACACCATCCTGCACACCATCCTGCACACCATCCTGCACACCATCCTGCACACCATCCTGCACACCATCCTGCACACCATCCTGCACACCATCCTGCACACCATCCTGCACACCATCCTGCACACCATCCTGCACACCATCCTGCACACCATCCTGCACACCATCCTGCACACCATCCTGCACACCATCCTGCACACCATCCTGCACACCATCCTGCACACCATCCTGCACACCATCCTGCACACCATCCTGCACACCATCCTGCACACCATCCTGCACACCATCCTGCACACCATCCTGCGCACCATCCTGCGCGCTCTCTCCGAGGTGACTACTCTCTCTTTCCTGCCTGCTGATAGCACCACAGCACAGCACAGCACAGTACAGTACTCCCACAAAGGCAGCCCTCTTGGCTGGCTGCTCACAGTGGAGCAGTACTATGCGCGGAGCTCCCAGCACATGCTGCACACCATCCTGCGCTCCCTCTCTCAGGCCTCCACAGACCACCTCTTCCTCTCTCAGGCCTCCACAGACCACCTCTTCCTCTCTTAGGTCTCCATTCTGTCTTTCCAGCCCCCCCCCTTCTCCCCTCCCCTCCCACCTTCTCATCTCATGCGCATCCTTATCACACTCGCTCCTCACACACACCATTTATCACCCCCTCTCCACCAGTCCCCCTCTCGGCGTTTCATCTGGGAGGAGATGTCGTATTTGAGCCGCTGGTGGGTGGACGCCACACAGGAGGAGAGGCAGGGGATGAGGGCGCTGGTGATTATACCCTCAACCGCATTCAACCCCTTGCCCCATCGCAACCTTCATGCCAAACCCTCACACCAGTCCCCCGCTCGCCGCTTCATCTGGGAGGAGATGTCGTATTTGAGCCGCTGGTGGGTGGACGCCACACAGGAGGAGAGGCAGGGGATGAGGGCGCTGGTGCTTCACTTGTGTCCTTGCTCGCATTGTATCCTAACCCTGACCTGACCTAAGACCTTACACAACCCCTTGCTTTACATCAGTCCCCCTCTCGGCGTTTCATCTGGGAGGAGATGTCGTATTTGAGCCGCTGGTGGGTGGACGCCACAGATGAGGAGAGGCAGGGGATGCGGGCGCTGGTGCAGTCGGGGCAGCTGGAGATTGTGGGGGGCGGGTGGGTCATGAACGATGAGGTGAGCCGTAGTGGAGGGGAGGGTTTTGGCTGTCTACATGATAAAGGCAGCAGTTGTGATATGGGAAGCTTTACGGTGAGTTGTGAAAGAGATATTAAGGACGTTGGTGCAGTCAGGGCATCTGGAGATTGTGGGGGGAGGGTGAGTCATGAACGATGAGGTGATGTGAGCTGTGGGATAGGCAGTAGCGGGGCAGTAACCTGTGAGGTGAGGTTTGCAAAGATGCTCTAGCTTATAAGAAGTGCATTCTTCTTCAGCAAGACCAATCCAATTTTCCATTACTATGTCCTTGTTCTCCCCTTCCTCTAAAAAAAACAATCCCTCCCTCTTCCTCACCCCGTATGCTCGTTTCCATTGCAGGCCAATTCCCACTACTACGCTATTATTGAGCAGGTGAGCGAGCCCAGCTTGAGTAGTGAAAGCCTGAACAGGTGAATGCTGTGCCTCTTAAGGCCACCTTAAACTCAAGAGGCACAGCATTCACCTGTCAGGCTTGGCTTTCACGAGTGACCCGCTTGGCTTTCACGAGTGACCCTACCTACCTACCCATCGCACTCCCCACACCCATCCCCTTACCTTACCTTGTTTTTTGCCAGAGAAGGAACTACCCTCTTTTTCCTCTGCTCCCCCTCCCCTCTTCCCTCCACGCCACGCCCCCCCCACCCTCCCTCCTTCCCATTCCCCCAGCTCACAGAGGGCAACACATGGCTGTACGACCCGCTCGGAGTGTTTCCTCCAACAGTTAGGTCATCGGCCCCTTTTCCTGTCGACTCCAATGTTGCCATACCGAACTACCTCCTCCCTTTCCTCCTCCCCCCCCCACCCCCCCGCTCCCTGTTCCCCCAGCTCACAGAGGGCAACACATGGCTGCACGACATGCTAGGAGTGAACAGCTGGTGGGGTGCATCAAAAGCCCTCTCTTTTCTCCCCCTCCCCCCACCCCCCCGCTCCCTGTTCCCCCAGCTCACGGAGGGCAACACATGGCTGTACGACACGTTCGGAGGGACACCCACCAACAGCTGTTGGGGCGCCTCAAAAGTTCTTCCTTTTCTCCCCCCTTCCCTCACCCCACTACCCCTCCCCCCCTCTCAGCTCACAGAGGGCAACACATGGCTGTATGACACGCTAGGAGTGACGCCCACCAACAGTTGGGCCATCGACCCCTTCGGCCCCCTTTCCTGTTGACTCCAATGTTGCCATCCTGAAATACCTCCTCTCTTTCCTCCTCCCCCCATCCCTCCAGCTCACGGAGGGCAACACATGGCTGTACGACACGCTAGGGGTGACGCCCACCAGCAGTTGGGCCATCGACCCCTTCGGCCATTCCGCCACCATGCCATACCTCCTAAAGAGGTGGGTGCGGCTCTGTTGTGGCACTGGTGGTGCTGGGTAACTGGGTTCGTCTGTATGTACGACACACTCTAGGAGTGACGCCCACCAACAGTTGGGCCATCGATCCCTTTTGCCATTCTGCCACCATGCCATACCTCCTAATAATGTGGGCAGGGGGGGGTTGGTTTCATTGGGCTAGTGTATTAAGTTAAGTTCGTGTGTGTGAAGGTAAGTTACTGTGTTGATGATACAGTTTCTTCTCTGAGTCCTTTTGTGTTCATTTTGGCTCTGAGCGCTTTGGCTTGTGCATGGAAGCAAGTTAGTGCGTTGATGGTACACACAGAAAGCTGCTCTGTTGGCGTGCCGGACCGACCTTTTGAGATTTCCCACATGATGTTCAGGTTCGGCTGCTCCGTGCCTCCCTTGTGTTGATCCGAGCCTCCCTTGTGCTGCTCCAAACCCCCTACCCTTCTCCAACAAATCAAATTGGCGCCTCTTGAATCCAACGCGTGTTGTTCCTTCCCATCTGCTTTTTGTTAGTCAGATCCGGGTTCGCCAACATGCTGATTCAGCGCACGCACTACGAGGTGAAAAAGGCCCTGGCGAGGCAGAAGCACCTCGAGTTCTTCTGGCGACAAGCATGGGACCAGACAGGGGGTATGATGGGAGAAAACCAACAAGTGCTTACCCTTTCTCTCCCCACCCCTTTGGTATCAGATCTGGTTTTGACAACATGCTCATTCAGCGCACACACTACGAGGTGAAAAAGGCCCTCGCGAAGCAGAAGCATCTAGAATTCTTCTGGCGCCAAGCATGGGACCAGTCGGGGGGTGCCATGGGCCAGTCAGGGGGAACAATGGGAGAGGGCCTTTCGCAAGGACAACCCAGGTCAGAAGGGGCGGCGGCGGCAGAGGCGGTTTCAGGAGAGGCAGCATCAGCAGCAGGGGAGGAGGAGGAGGAGGAGGGCAGCACGGATATTCTGTGTCACATGATGCCTTTCTATTCGTACGACATACCGCACACCTGTGGGCCCAATCCGGGTGTGTGCTGTCAGGTGTGAGCCTCTCTGTAGCACACACATTGCTGTTTCACTTGGTTGCTTCCTTTCATCTTAGTTGCACATGCCTTTTTTGCATCTACTTTTCACGTGTCGGCTTCTGTTCATCTTCACCTCACTTTTCTTCTCTCGAATGGTCCTTCATATTGAATTTGCGGCATGTACGACTTCTCTCTCCCTCCATCCATGTCTGTGCCGGCAGTTTGACTTCCTGCGTCGCACAGGCACGCAGGATTGGTGCCCGTGGGGGCAGGACTCCATGCCCACATTTGAGGCGCCTCAAAAGTCCATGCCCACACTGCACGCATATTCATCCCACTTGGCGTCTCATTCTCTATTTCTCTCTCTCTCATCTGTGTGCGTGTCTTCTCTGCCAGTTTGACTTCCTGCGCCGCACAGGCACGCAGCACTGGTGCCCGTGGGGGCAGGACTCCATGCCCATCACCAGGAAGAACATCGCACAGCGAGCACAGCTGCTCGTGGATCAGGTGGGATGGGGATGAGTTGGTAGGGCTAGTGGGGATGGTGAGTCAGCCAGCCTTCCTGAATAGGCACACGTCACTACCTGAATAGGCACACGTCACTACCTGAATAGGCACACGTCACTACCTGAATAGGCACACGTCACTACCTGAATAGGCACACGTCACTACCTGAATAGGCACACGTCACTACCTGAATAGGCACACGTCACTAATCTTTATGCAGGGAGAAAGGGGAATACCCCTTTCTTCTCTCCCCCTTCATGCCCTTCTCTCCTTTCCTGCAATCTCTGTCCTTCTGCAATCTCGGACCCCATTCCCCATCCCCAGTGGCACAAGAAGGCTCTCCCCTTCTGCACCAACTTGCTGCTGGTCCCTCTGGTCTTGCTGTTGCCCCTTACTACTCTTCCCCCCGTCCTGCTTTCTCCTATTCGTGTTCCTCCCATATCCCCCCTCCCACTCCCGCCATATCCCCTCTCCCGCTCCTCCCTTATCCCCTCTTCCCCCCACCAGTGGCGCAAAAAGTCTCTTCTCTTACGCACCAACGTCCTCCTGGTCCCTTTAGGTGACGACTTCCGCTACTCCTCCATGCTCGAGGCGCACGCTCAGTTCCAAAACTACGAGCTGCTCTTCCTTTGCTTCCTCTCTCATCGTGCCCCCTCCGTCCTGCTGTTGCCTTTTCTCTTCTCCCCCCCCCTGCCCTTCCCTCCTCTCCTGCTACCGCTCCCCATTCCCCATAACCAGTGGCGCAAGAAGGCTCTTCTCTTCCGCACCAACGTCCTCCTGGTCCCTCTGGGGGACGACTTCCGTTACTCCTCCATGCTCGAGGCGCACGTGCATTTCCACAGCCACTAGCCACTCTTCGCCTTCATGCTCTTCTGCTCCTTCCCTTCTTCCCGTGCCCACTCTCTCCCCCAACCAGTGGCGCAAGAAGTCTCTTCTCTTCCGCACCAATGTCCCTCAGTTCCAAAACTACGAGCTGCTCTTCGCCTTCATCAACTCCAGAAAGTCCCTCCAAGCCACTTCTGAGTCAACTCAACAGTCTGCTCCTCTCCCTTCCCACTGTTCCCCTGTCCTGTTCGTCCCCTCTCCCCGTCACCAGTGGCGCAAAAAGTCCCTGCTCTTCCGCACCAACGTCCTGCTGGTCCCTCTGGGGGACGACTTTCGCTACTCCTCCATGCTCGAAGCTGAGGCTCAGTTCCGAAACTACGAGCTGCTCTTCGCCTTCATCAACTCCAGAAAGTCCCTCCAAGCCACTTCTGAGTCAACTCAACAGTCTGCTCCTCTCCCTTCCCACTGTTCCCCTGTCCTGTTCGTCCCCTCTCCCCGTCACCAGTGGCGCAAAAAGTCCCTGCTCTTCCGCACCAACGTCCTGCTGGTCCCTCTGGGGGACGACTTTCGCTACTCCTCCATGCTCGAAGCTGAGGCTCAGTTCCAAAACTACGAGCTGCTCTTCGCCTTCATCAACTCCAGAAAGTCCCTCCAAGCCACTTCTGAGTCAACTCAACAGTCTGCTCCTCTCCCTTCCCACTGTTCCCCTGTCCTGTTCGTCCCCTCTCCCCGTCACCAGTGGCGCAAAAAGTCCCTGCTCTTCCGCACCAACGTCCTGCTGGTCCCTCTGGGGGACGACTTTCGCTACTCCTCCATGCTCGAAGCTGAGGCTCAGTTCCGAAACTACGAGCTGCTCTTCGCCTTCATCAGCTCCAGAAAGTCGCTCCGAGTCAATGCCAGCTTCGGCACTCTCGACGAGTATTTCACCGCCATGCGCGCCGCCTCCGCCCGCCAGAGAGAAAAGCAGCGCCAGAAGGTCTCTTCCCAGCAGCAGCGGGACCACCAGCGGCGGCTCCTCGCCTTCATCAGCTCCAGAAAGTCGCTCCGAGTCAATGCCAGCTTCGGCACTCTCGACGAGTATTTCACCGCCATGCGCGCCGCCTCCGCCCGCCAGAGAGAAAAGCAGCGCCAGAAGGTCTCTTCCCAGCAGCAGCGGGACCACCAGCGGCGGCTCCTCGCCTTCATCAGCTCCAGAAAGTCGCTCCGAGTCAATGCCAGCTTCGGCACTCTCGACGAGTATTTCACCGCCATGCGCGCCGCCTCCGCCCGCCAGAGAGAAAAGCAGCGCCAGAAGGTCTCTTCCCAGCAGCAGCGGGACCACCAGCGGCGGCTCCTCGCCTTCATCAACCCCAGAAAGTCGCTCAAAGTCAACGCCAGCTTCGGCACCCTCGACGAGTACTTCACCGCCATGCGCGCCGCCTCAGCCCGCCAGAGGGAAAAGCAGCTCGAGAGGGTCTCTTCCCACCAGGGAGCAAGGCAGCGGGCTTCCCACCAGCAGCAGCGGGGCCACAACCACCGGCGCCGGCTCTTTGCCAGCGAAGCCAACGCCAGCTTCGGCACCCTCGACGAGTATTTCACTGCCATGCGCGCTGCCTCCTCTCGCCAGAAGATCTCTTCTCACCAGCAGCAGCGGGGCCACAACCACCAGCGCCGGCTCTTGGCTAACGAAGTCAACGCCAGCTTCGACAACTACTTCACTGCCATGCGTGCCGCCTCGGCTCGGCAGAGAGAAAAGCAGCTCCGGGCCCAGCTGAACCCAGACTTAATGCTGAACAGCAGTGACGCGACTCAAAACTCGCTATTAGACAGCCAGGAAAACCAGCACCAGCAGGAGATCCAGCGCCGCCGGCTCTTAGCTAACAGAGATTCCTACCTAAAACTAGCCACATCTTCCTCCAGCGCTTACCTAAAAGTCAGAAATTCCCGAGCCGGCTTCCTCCGGACTACCACTGCCAGCAGAACCGACCAACTGCGGCCGCTGCTGCCGTCTCTGTCAGGGGATTTCTTCACGTACGCGGATCGCGATCACGACTACTGGAGCGGCTTCTTCTCCTCGCGCCCTTTTTGGAAGGCCGTGGACCGAGCATTGGAGGCGAACATGAGGGCCGCTGACATGCTGTACGCGCTGTGCTGGGCCGACTGGGTGGGCGCTTCTCATGGCTCGACTGCCAGCGCCAGGAGTGGTGGGCTCAAGGAGCTGCCCTTCCCGCTCAAGTGAGTTGCGAGGGGCATAGGTGCGAGGGGCATAGGTGCGAGGGGCATAGGTGCGAGGGGCATAGGTGCGAGGGGCATAGGTGCGAGGGGCATAGGTGCGAGGGGCATAGGTGCGAGGGGCATAGGTGCGAGGGGCATAGGTGCGAGGGGCATAGGTGCGAGGGGCATAGGTGCGAGGGGCACAGGTGCGAGGGGCATAGGTGCGAGGGGCACAGGTGCGAGGGGCATAGGTGCGAGGGGCATAGGTGCGAGGGGCATAGGTGCGAGGGGCATAGGTGCGAGGGGCATAGGTGCGAGGGGCATAGGTGCGAGGGGCATAGGTGCGAGGGGCATAGGTGCGAGGGGCATAGGTGCGAGGGGCATAGGTGCGAGGGGCATAGGTGCGAGGGGCATAGGTGCGAGGGGCATAGGTGCGAGGGGCATAGGTGCGAGGGGCATAGGTGCGAGGGGCATAGGTGCGAGGGGCATAGGTGCGAGGGGCATAGGTGCGAGGGGCATAGGTGCGAGGGGCATAGGTGCGAGGGGCATAGGTGCGAGGGGCATAGGTGCGAGGGGCATAGGTGCGAGGGGCATAGGTGCGAGGGGCATAGGTGCGAGGGGCATAGGTGCGAGGGGCATAGGTGCGAGGGGCATAGGTGCGAGGGGCATAGGTGCGAGGGGCATAGGTGCGAGGGGCATAGGTGCGAGGGGCATAGGTGCGAGGGGCATAGGTGCGAGGGGCATAGGTGCGAGGGGCACAGGTGCGAGGGGCACAGGTGCGAGGGGCACAGGTGCGAGGGGCACAGGTGCGAGGGGCACAGGTGCGAGGGGCACAGGTGCGAGGGGCACAGGTGCGAGGGGCACAGGTGCGAGGGGCACAGGTGCGAGGGGCACAGGTGCGAGGGGCACAGGTGCGAGGGGCACAGGTGCGAGGGGCACAGGTGCGAGGGGCACAGGTGCGAGGGGCACAGGTGCGAGGGGCACAGGTGCGAGGGGCACAGGTGCGAGGGGCACAGGTGCGAGGGGCACAGGTGCGAGGGGCATAGGTGCGAGGGGCATAGGTGCGAGGGGCATAGGTGCGAGGGGCATAGGTGCGAGGGGCATAGGTGCGAGGGGCATAGGTGCGAGGGGCATAGGTGCGAGGGGCATAGGTGCGAGGGGCATAGGTGCGAGGGGCATAGGTGCGAGGGGCATAGGTGCGAGGGGCATAGGTGCGAGGGGCATAGGTGCGAGGGGCATAGGTGCGAGGGGCATAGGTGCGAGGGGCATAGGTGCGAGGGGCATAGGTGCGAGGGGCATAGGTGCGAGGGGCATAGGTGCGAGGGGCATAGGTGCGAGGGGCATAGGTGCGAGGGGCATAGGTGCGAGGGGCATAGGTGCGAGGGGCATAGGTGCGAGGGGCATAGGTGCGAGGGGCATAGGTGCGAGGGGCATAGGTGCGAGGGGCATAGGTGCGAGGGGCATAGGTGCGAGGGGCATAGGTGCGAGGGGCATAGGTGCGAGGGGCATAGGTGCGAGGGGCATAGGTGCGAGGGGCATAGGTGCGAGGGGCATAGGTGCGAGGGGCATAGGTGCGAGGGGCATAGGTGCGAGGGGCATAGGTGCGAGGGGCATAGGTGCGAGGGGCATAGGTGCGAGGGGCATAGGTGCGAGGGGCATAGGTGCGAGGGGCATAGGTGCGAGGGGCATAGGTGCGAGGGGCATAGGTGCGAGGGGCATAGGTGCGAGGGGCATAGGTGCGAGGGGCATAGGTGCGAGGGGCATAGGTGCGAGGGGCATAGGTGCGAGGGGCATAGGTGCGAGGGGCATAGGTGCGAGGGGCATAGGTGCGAGGGGCATAGGTGCGAGGGGCATAGGTGCGAGGGGCATAGGTGCGAGGGGCATAGGTGCGAGGGGCATAGGTGCGAGGGGCATAGGTGCGAGGGGCATAGGTGCGAGGGGCATAGGTGCGAGGGGCATAGGTGCGAGGGGCATAGGTGCGAGGGGCATAGGTGCGAGGGGCATAGGTGCGAGGGGCATAGGTGCGAGGGGCATAGGTGCGAGGGGCATAGGTGCGAGGGGCATAGGTGCGAGGGGCATAGGTGCGAGGGGCATAGGTGCGAGGGGCATAGGTGCGAGGGGCATAGGTGCGAGGGGCATAGGTGCGAGGGGCATAGGTGCGAGGGGCATAGGTGCGAGGGGCATAGGTGCGAGGGGCATAGGTGCGAGGGGCATAGGTGCGAGGGGCATAGGTGCGAGGGGCATAGGTGCGAGGGGCATAGGTGCGAGGGGCATAGGTGCGAGGGGCATAGGTGCGAGGGGCATAGGTGCGAGGGGCATAGGTGCGAGGGGCATAGGTGCGAGGGGCATAGGTGCGAGGGGCATAGGTGCGAGGGGCATAGGTGCGAGGGGCATAGGTGCGAGGGGCATAGGTGCGAGGGGCATAGGTGCGAGGGGCATAGGTGCGAGGGGCATAGGTGCGAGGGGCATAGGTGCGAGGGGCATAGGTGCGAGGGGCATAGGTGCGAGGGGCATAGGTGCGAGGGGCATAGGTGCGAGGGGCATAGGTGCGAGGGGCATAGGTGCGAGGGGCATAGGTGCGAGGGGCATAGGTGCGAGGGGCATAGGTGCGAGGGGCATAGGTGCGAGGGGCATAGGTGCGAGGGGCATAGGTGCGAGGGGCATAGGTGCGAGGGGCATAGGTGCGAGGGGCATAGGTGCGAGGGGCATAGGTGCGAGGGGCATAGGTGCGAGGGGCATAGGTGCGAGGGGCATAGGTGCGAGGGGCATAGGTGCGAGGGGCATAGGTGCGAGGGGCATAGGTGCGAGGGGCATAGGTGCGAGGGGCATAGGTGCGAGGGGCATAGGTGCGAGGGGCATAGGTGCGAGGGGCATAGGTGCGAGGGGCATAGGTGCGAGGGGCATAGGTGCGAGGGGCATAGGTGCGAGGGGCATAGGTGCGAGGGGCATAGGTGCGAGGGGCATAGGTGCGAGGGGCATAGGTGCGAGGGGCATAGGTGCGAGGGGCATAGGTGCGAGGGGCATAGGTGCGAGGGGCATAGGTGCGAGGGGCATAGGTGCGAGGGGCATAGGTGCGAGGGGCATAGGTGCGAGGGGCATAGGTGCGAGGGGCATAGGTGCGAGGGGCATAGGTGCGAGGGGCATAGGTGCGAGGGGCATAGGTGCGAGGGGCATAGGTGCGAGGGGCATAGGTGCGAGGGGCATAGGTGCGAGGGGCATAGGTGCGAGGGGCATAGGTGCGAGGGGCATAGGTGCGAGGGGCATAGGTGCGAGGGGCATAGGTGCGAGGGGCATAGGTGCGAGGGGCATAGGTGCGAGGGGCATAGGTGCGAGGGGCATAGGTGCGAGGGGCATAGGTGCGAGGGGCATAGGTGCGAGGGGCATAGGTGCGAGGGGCATAGGTGCGAGGGGCATAGGTGCGAGGGGCATAGGTGCGAGGGGCATAGGTGCGAGGGGCATAGGTGCGAGGGGCATAGGTGCGAGGGGCATAGGTGCGAGGGGCATAGGTGCGAGGGGCATAGGTGCGAGGGGCATAGGTGCGAGGGGCATAGGTGCGAGGGGCATAGGTGCGAGGGGCATAGGTGCGAGGGGCATAGGTGCGAGGGGCATAGGTGCGAGGGGCATAGGTGCGAGGGGCATAGGTGCGAGGGGCATAGGTGCGAGGGGCATAGGTGCGAGGGGCATAGGTGCGAGGGGCATAGGTGCGAGGGGCATAGGTGCGAGGGGCATAGGTGCGAGGGGCATAGGTGCGAGGGGCATAGGTGCGAGGGGCATAGGTGCGAGGGGCATAGGTGCGAGGGGCATAGGTGCGAGGGGCATAGGTGCGAGGGGCATAGGTGCGAGGGGCATAGGTGCGAGGGGCATAGGTGCGAGGGGCATAGGTGCGAGGGGCATAGGTGCGAGGGGCATAGGTGCGAGGGGCATAGGTGCGAGGGGCATAGGTGCGAGGGGCATAGGTGCGAGGGGCATAGGTGCGAGGGGCATAGGTGCGAGGGGCATAGGTGCGAGGGGCATAGGTGCGAGGGGCATAGGTGCGAGGGGCATAGGTGCGAGGGGCATAGGTGCGAGGGGCATAGGTGCGAGGGGCATAGGTGCGAGGGGCATAGGTGCGAGGGGCATAGGTGCGAGGGGCATAGGTGCGAGGGGCATAGGTGCGAGGGGCATAGGTGCGAGGGGCATAGGTGCGAGGGGCATAGGTGCGAGGGGCATAGGTGCGAGGGGCATAGGTGCGAGGGGCATAGGTGCGAGGGGCATAGGTGCGAGGGGCATAGGTGCGAGGGGCATAGGTGCGAGGGGCATAGGTGCGAGGGGCATAGGTGCGAGGGGCATAGGTGCGAGGGGCATAGGTGCGAGGGGCATAGGTGCGAGGGGCATAGGTGCGAGGGGCATAGGTGCGAGGGGCATAGGTGCGAGGGGCATAGGTGCGAGGGGCATAGGTGCGAGGGGCATAGGTGCGAGGGGCATAGGTGCGAGGGGCATAGGTGCGAGGGGCATAGGTGCGAGGGGCATAGGTGCGAGGGGCATAGGTGCGAGGGGCATAGGTGCGAGGGGCATAGGTGCGAGGGGCATAGGTGCGAGGGGCATAGGTGCGAGGGGCATAGGTGCGAGGGGCATAGGTGCGAGGGGCATAGGTGCGAGGGGCATAGGTGCGAGGGGCATAGGTGCGAGGGGCATAGGTGCGAGGGGCATAGGTGCGAGGGGCATAGGTGCGAGGGGCATAGGTGCGAGGGGCATAGGTGCGAGGGGCATAGGTGCGAGGGGCATAGGTGCGAGGGGCATAGGTGCGAGGGGCATAGGTGCGAGGGGCATAGGTGCGAGGGGCATAGGTGCGAGGGGCATAGGTGCGAGGGGCATAGGTGCGAGGGGCATAGGTGCGAGGGGCATAGGTGCGAGGGGCATAGGTGCGAGGGGCATAGGTGCGAGGGGCATAGGTGCGAGGGGCATAGGTGCGAGGGGCATAGGTGCGAGGGGCATAGGTGCGAGGGGCATAGGTGCGAGGGGCATAGGTGCGAGGGGCATAGGTGCGAGGGGCATAGGTGCGAGGGGCATAGGTGCGAGGGGCATAGGTGCGAGGGGCATAGGTGCGAGGGGCATAGGTGCGAGGGGCATAGGTGCGAGGGGCATAGGTGCGAGGGGCATAGGTGCGAGGGGCATAGGTGCGAGGGGCATAGGTGCGAGGGGCATAGGTGCGAGGGGCATAGGTGCGAGGGGCATAGGTGCGAGGGGCATAGGTGCGAGGGGCATAGGTGCGAGGGGCATAGGTGCGAGGGGCATAGGTGCGAGGGGCATAGGTGCGAGGGGCATAGGTGCGAGGGGCATAGGTGCGAGGGGCATAGGTGCGAGGGGCATAGGTGCGAGGGGCATAGGTGCGAGGGGCATAGGTGCGAGGGGCATAGGTGCGAGGGGCATAGGTGCGAGGGGCATAGGTGCGAGGGGCATAGGTGCGAGGGGCATAGGTGCGAGGGGCATAGGTGCGAGGGGCATAGGTGCGAGGGGCATAGGTGCGAGGGGCATAGGTGCGAGGGGCATAGGTGCGAGGGGCATAGGTGCGAGGGGCATAGGTGCGAGGGGCATAGGTGCGAGGGGCATAGGTGCGAGGGGCATAGGTGCGAGGGGCATAGGTGCGAGGGGCATAGGTGCGAGGGGCATAGGTGCGAGGGGCATAGGTGCGAGGGGCATAGGTGCGAGGGGCATAGGTGCGAGGGGCATAGGTGCGAGGGGCATAGGTGCGAGGGGCATAGGTGCGAGGGGCATAGGTGCGAGGGGCATAGGTGCGAGGGGCATAGGTGCGAGGGGCATAGGTGCGAGGGGCATAGGTGCGAGGGGCATAGGTGCGAGGGGCATAGGTGCGAGGGGCATAGGTGCGAGGGGCATAGGTGCGAGGGGCATAGGTGCGAGGGGCATAGGTGCGAGGGGCATAGGTGCGAGGGGCATAGGTGCGAGGGGCATAGGTGCGAGGGGCATAGGTGCGAGGGGCATAGGTGCGAGGGGCATAGGTGCGAGGGGCATAGGTGCGAGGGGCATAGGTGCGAGGGGCATAGGTGCGAGGGGCATAGGTGCGAGGGGCATAGGTGCGAGGGGCATAGGTGCGAGGGGCATAGGTGCGAGGGGCATAGGTGCGAGGGGCATAGGTGCGAGGGGCATAGGTGCGAGGGGCATAGGTGCGAGGGGCATAGGTGCGAGGGGCATAGGTGCGAGGGGCATAGGTGCGAGGGGCATAGGTGCGAGGGGCATAGGTGCGAGGGGCATAGGTGCGAGGGGCATAGGTGCGAGGGGCATAGGTGCGAGGGGCATAGGTGCGAGGGGCATAGGTGCGAGGGGCATAGGTGCGAGGGGCATAGGTGCGAGGGGCATAGGTGCGAGGGGCATAGGTGCGAGGGGCATAGGTGCGAGGGGCATAGGTGCGAGGGGCATAGGTGCGAGGGGCATAGGTGCGAGGGGCATAGGTGCGAGGGGCATAGGTGCGAGGGGCATAGGTGCGAGGGGCATAGGTGCGAGGGGCATAGGTGCGAGGGGCATAGGTGCGAGGGGCATAGGTGCGAGGGGCATAGGTGCGAGGGGCATAGGTGCGAGGGGCATAGGTGCGAGGGGCATAGGTGCGAGGGGCATAGGTGCGAGGGGCATAGGTGCGAGGGGCATAGGTGCGAGGGGCATAGGTGCGAGGGGCATAGGTGCGAGGGGCATAGGTGCGAGGGGCATAGGTGCGAGGGGCATAGGTGCGAGGGGCATAGGTGCGAGGGGCATAGGTGCGAGGGGCATAGGTGCGAGGGGCATAGGTGCGAGGGGCATAGGTGCGAGGGGCATAGGTGCGAGGGGCATAGGTGCGAGGGGCATAGGTGCGAGGGGCATAGGTGCGAGGGGCATAGGTGCGAGGGGCATAGGTGCGAGGGGCATAGGTGCGAGGGGCATAGGTGCGAGGGGCATAGGTGCGAGGGGCATAGGTGCGAGGGGCATAGGTGCGAGGGGCATAGGTGCGAGGGGCATAGGTGCGAGGGGCATAGGTGCGAGGGGCATAGGTGCGAGGGGCATAGGTGCGAGGGGCATAGGTGCGAGGGGCATAGGTGCGAGGGGCATAGGTGCGAGGGGCATAGGTGCGAGGGGCATAGGTGCGAGGGGCATAGGTGCGAGGGGCATAGGTGCGAGGGGCATAGGTGCGAGGGGCATAGGTGCGAGGGGCATAGGTGCGAGGGGCATAGGTGCGAGGGGCATAGGTGCGAGGGGCATAGGTGCGAGGGGCATAGGTGCGAGGGGCATAGGTGCGAGGGGCATAGGTGCGAGGGGCATAGGTGCGAGGGGCATAGGTGCGAGGGGCATAGGTGCGAGGGGCATAGGTGCGAGGGGCATAGGTGCGAGGGGCATAGGTGCGAGGGGCATAGGTGCGAGGGGCATAGGTGCGAGGGGCATAGGTGCGAGGGGCATAGGTGCGAGGGGCATAGGTGCGAGGGGCATAGGTGCGAGGGGCATAGGTGCGAGGGGCATAGGTGCGAGGGGCATAGGTGCGAGGGGCATAGGTGCGAGGGGCATAGGTGCGAGGGGCATAGGTGCGAGGGGCATAGGTGCGAGGGGCATAGGTGCGAGGGGCATAGGTGCGAGGGGCATAGGTGCGAGGGGCATAGGTGCGAGGGGCATAGGTGCGAGGGGCATAGGTGCGAGGGGCATAGGTGCGAGGGGCATAGGTGCGAGGGGCATAGGTGCGAGGGGCATAGGTGCGAGGGGCATAGGTGCGAGGGGCATAGGTGCGAGGGGCATAGGTGCGAGGGGCATAGGTGCGAGGGGCATAGGTGCGAGGGGCATAGGTGCGAGGGGCATAGGTGCGAGGGGCATAGGTGCGAGGGGCATAGGTGCGAGGGGCATAGGTGCGAGGGGCATAGGTGCGAGGGGCATAGGTGCGAGGGGCATAGGTGCGAGGGGCATAGGTGCGAGGGGCATAGGTGCGAGGGGCATAGGTGCGAGGGGCATAGGTGCGAGGGGCATAGGTGCGAGGGGCATAGGTGCGAGGGGCATAGGTGCGAGGGGCATAGGTGCGAGGGGCATAGGTGCGAGGGGCATAGGTGCGAGGGGCATAGGTGCGAGGGGCATAGGTGCGAGGGGCATAGGTGCGAGGGGCATAGGTGCGAGGGGCATAGGTGCGAGGGGCATAGGTGCGAGGGGCATAGGTGCGAGGGGCATAGGTGCGAGGGGCATAGGTGCGAGGGGCATAGGTGCGAGGGGCATAGGTGCGAGGGGCATAGGTGCGAGGGGCATAGGTGCGAGGGGCATAGGTGCGAGGGGCATAGGTGCGAGGGGCATAGGTGCGAGGGGCATAGGTGCGAGGGGCATAGGTGCGAGGGGCATAGGTGCGAGGGGCATAGGTGCGAGGGGCATAGGTGCGAGGGGCATAGGTGCGAGGGGCATAGGTGCGAGGGGCATAGGTGCGAGGGGCATAGGTGCGAGGGGCATAGGTGCGAGGGGCATAGGTGCGAGGGGCATAGGTGCGAGGGGCATAGGTGCGAGGGGCATAGGTGCGAGGGGCATAGGTGCGAGGGGCATAGGTGCGAGGGGCATAGGTGCGAGGGGCATAGGTGCGAGGGGCATAGGTGCGAGGGGCATAGGTGCGAGGGGCATAGGTGCGAGGGGCATAGGTGCGAGGGGCATAGGTGCGAGGGGCATAGGTGCGAGGGGCATAGGTGCGAGGGGCATAGGTGCGAGGGGCATAGGTGCGAGGGGCATAGGTGCGAGGGGCATAGGTGCGAGGGGCATAGGTGCGAGGGGCATAGGTGCGAGGGGCATAGGTGCGAGGGGCATAGGTGCGAGGGGCATAGGTGCGAGGGGCATAGGTGCGAGGGGCATAGGTGCGAGGGGCATAGGTGCGAGGGGCATAGGTGCGAGGGGCATAGGTGCGAGGGGCATAGGTGCGAGGGGCATAGGTGCGAGGGGCATAGGTGCGAGGGGCATAGGTGCGAGGGGCATAGGTGCGAGGGGCATAGGTGCGAGGGGCATAGGTGCGAGGGGCATAGGTGCGAGGGGCATAGGTGCGAGGGGCATAGGTGCGAGGGGCATAGGTGCGAGGGGCATAGGTGCGAGGGGCATAGGTGCGAGGGGCATAGGTGCGAGGGGCATAGGTGCGAGGGGCATAGGTGCGAGGGGCATAGGTGCGAGGGGCATAGGTGCGAGGGGCATAGGTGCGAGGGGCATAGGTGCGAGGGGCATAGGTGCGAGGGGCATAGGTGCGAGGGGCATAGGTGCGAGGGGCATAGGTGCGAGGGGCATAGGTGCGAGGGGCATAGGTGCGAGGGGCATAGGTGCGAGGGGCATAGGTGCGAGGGGCATAGGTGCGAGGGGCATAGGTGCGAGGGGCATAGGTGCGAGGGGCATAGGTGCGAGGGGCATAGGTGCGAGGGGCATAGGTGCGAGGGGCATAGGTGCGAGGGGCATAGGTGCGAGGGGCATAGGTGCGAGGGGCATAGGTGCGAGGGGCATAGGTGCGAGGGGCATAGGTGCGAGGGGCATAGGTGCGAGGGGCATAGGTGCGAGGGGCATAGGTGCGAGGGGCATAGGTGCGAGGGGCATAGGTGCGAGGGGCATAGGTGCGAGGGGCATAGGTGCGAGGGGCATAGGTGCGAGGGGCATAGGTGCGAGGGGCATAGGTGCGAGGGGCATAGGTGCGAGGGGCATAGGTGCGAGGGGCATAGGTGCGAGGGGCATAGGTGCGAGGGGCATAGGTGCGAGGGGCATAGGTGCGAGGGGCATAGGTGCGAGGGGCATAGGTGCGAGGGGCATAGGTGCGAGGGGCATAGGTGCGAGGGGCATAGGTGCGAGGGGCATAGGTGCGAGGGGCATAGGTGCGAGGGGCATAGGTGCGAGGGGCATAGGTGCGAGGGGCATAGGTGCGAGGGGCATAGGTGCGAGGGGCATAGGTGCGAGGGGCATAGGTGCGAGGGGCATAGGTGCGAGGGGCATAGGTGCGAGGGGCATAGGTGCGAGGGGCATAGGTGCGAGGGGCATAGGTGCGAGGGGCATAGGTGCGAGGGGCATAGGTGCGAGGGGCATAGGTGCGAGGGGCATAGGTGCGAGGGGCATAGGTGCGAGGGGCATAGGTGCGAGGGGCATAGGTGCGAGGGGCATAGGTGCGAGGGGCATAGGTGCGAGGGGCATAGGTGCGAGGGGCATAGGTGCGAGGGGCATAGGTGCGAGGGGCATAGGTGCGAGGGGCATAGGTGCGAGGGGCATAGGTGCGAGGGGCATAGGTGCGAGGGGCATAGGTGCGAGGGGCATAGGTGCGAGGGGCATAGGTGCGAGGGGCATAGGTGCGAGGGGCATAGGTGCGAGGGGCATAGGTGCGAGGGGCATAGGTGCGAGGGGCATAGGTGCGAGGGGCATAGGTGCGAGGGGCATAGGTGCGAGGGGCATAGGTGCGAGGGGCATAGGTGCGAGGGGCATAGGTGCGAGGGGCATAGGTGCGAGGGGCATAGGTGCGAGGGGCATAGGTGCGAGGGGCATAGGTGCGAGGGGCATAGGTGCGAGGGGCATAGGTGCGAGGGGCATAGGTGCGAGGGGCATAGGTGCGAGGGGCATAGGTGCGAGGGGCATAGGTGCGAGGGGCATAGGTGCGAGGGGCATAGGTGCGAGGGGCATAGGTGCGAGGGGCATAGGTGCGAGGGGCATAGGTGCGAGGGGCATAGGTGCGAGGGGCATAGGTGCGAGGGGCATAGGTGCGAGGGGCATAGGTGCGAGGGGCATAGGTGCGAGGGGCATAGGTGCGAGGGGCATAGGTGCGAGGGGCATAGGTGCGAGGGGCATAGGTGCGAGGGGCATAGGTGCGAGGGGCATAGGTGCGAGGGGCATAGGTGCGAGGGGCATAGGTGCGAGGGGCATAGGTGCGAGGGGCATAGGTGCGAGGGGCATAGGTGCGAGGGGCATAGGTGCGAGGGGCATAGGTGCGAGGGGCATAGGTGCGAGGGGCATAGGTGCGAGGGGCATAGGTGCGAGGGGCATAGGTGCGAGGGGCATAGGTGCGAGGGGCATAGGTGCGAGGGGCATAGGTGCGAGGGGCATAGGTGCGAGGGGCATAGGTGCGAGGGGCATAGGTGCGAGGGGCATAGGTGCGAGGGGCATAGGTGCGAGGGGCATAGGTGCGAGGGGCATAGGTGCGAGGGGCATAGGTGCGAGGGGCATAGGTGCGAGGGGCATAGGTGCGAGGGGCATAGGTGCGAGGGGCATAGGTGCGAGGGGCATAGGTGCGAGGGGCATAGGTGCGAGGGGCATAGGTGCGAGGGGCATAGGTGCGAGGGGCATAGGTGCGAGGGGCATAGGTGCGAGGGGCATAGGTGCGAGGGGCATAGGTGCGAGGGGCATAGGTGCGAGGGGCATAGGTGCGAGGGGCATAGGTGCGAGGGGCATAGGTGCGAGGGGCATAGGTGCGAGGGGCATAGGTGCGAGGGGCATAGGTGCGAGGGGCATAGGTGCGAGGGGCATAGGTGCGAGGGGCATAGGTGCGAGGGGCATAGGTGCGAGGGGCATAGGTGCGAGGGGCATAGGTGCGAGGGGCATAGGTGCGAGGGGCATAGGTGCGAGGGGCATAGGTGCGAGGGGCATAGGTGCGAGGGGCATAGGTGCGAGGGGCATAGGTGCGAGGGGCATAGGTGCGAGGGGCATAGGTGCGAGGGGCATAGGTGCGAGGGGCATAGGTGCGAGGGGCATAGGTGCGAGGGGCATAGGTGCGAGGGGCATAGGTGCGAGGGGCATAGGTGCGAGGGGCATAGGTGCGAGGGGCATAGGTGCGAGGGGCATAGGTGCGAGGGGCATAGGTGCGAGGGGCATAGGTGCGAGGGGCATAGGTGCGAGGGGCATAGGTGCGAGGGGCATAGGTGCGAGGGGCATAGGTGCGAGGGGCATAGGTGCGAGGGGCATAGGTGCGAGGGGCATAGGTGCGAGGGGCATAGGTGCGAGGGGCATAGGTGCGAGGGGCATAGGTGCGAGGGGCATAGGTGCGAGGGGCATAGGTGCGAGGGGCATAGGTGCGAGGGGCATAGGTGCGAGGGGCATAGGTGCGAGGGGCATAGGTGCGAGGGGCATAGGTGCGAGGGGCATAGGTGCGAGGGGCATAGGTGCGAGGGGCATAGGTGCGAGGGGCATAGGTGCGAGGGGCATAGGTGCGAGGGGCATAGGTGCGAGGGGCATAGGTGCGAGGGGCATAGGTGCGAGGGGCATAGGTGCGAGGGGCATAGGTGCGAGGGGCATAGGTGCGAGGGGCATAGGTGCGAGGGGCATAGGTGCGAGGGGCATAGGTGCGAGGGGCATAGGTGCGAGGGGCATAGGTGCGAGGGGCATAGGTGCGAGGGGCATAGGTGCGAGGGGCATAGGTGCGAGGGGCATAGGTGCGAGGGGCATAGGTGCGAGGGGCATAGGTGCGAGGGGCATAGGTGCGAGGGGCATAGGTGCGAGGGGCATAGGTGCGAGGGGCATAGGTGCGAGGGGCATAGGTGCGAGGGGCATAGGTGCGAGGGGCATAGGTGCGAGGGGCATAGGTGCGAGGGGCATAGGTGCGAGGGGCATAGGTGCGAGGGGCATAGGTGCGAGGGGCATAGGTGCGAGGGGCATAGGTGCGAGGGGCATAGGTGCGAGGGGCATAGGTGCGAGGGGCATAGGTGCGAGGGGCATAGGTGCGAGGGGCATAGGTGCGAGGGGCATAGGTGCGAGGGGCATAGGTGCGAGGGGCATAGGTGCGAGGGGCATAGGTGCGAGGGGCATAGGTGCGAGGGGCATAGGTGCGAGGGGCATAGGTGCGAGGGGCATAGGTGCGAGGGGCATAGGTGCGAGGGGCATAGGTGCGAGGGGCATAGGTGCGAGGGGCATAGGTGCGAGGGGCATAGGTGCGAGGGGCATAGGTGCGAGGGGCATAGGTGCGAGGGGCATAGGTGCGAGGGGCATAGGTGCGAGGGGCATAGGTGCGAGGGGCATAGGTGCGAGGGGCATAGGTGCGAGGGGCATAGGTGCGAGGGGCATAGGTGCGAGGGGCATAGGTGCGAGGGGCATAGGTGCGAGGGGCATAGGTGCGAGGGGCATAGGTGCGAGGGGCATAGGTGCGAGGGGCATAGGTGCGAGGGGCATAGGTGCGAGGGGCATAGGTGCGAGGGGCATAGGTGCGAGGGGCATAGGTGCGAGGGGCATAGGTGCGAGGGGCATAGGTGCGAGGGGCACATGAGAGCGCTGGAGGCGAGCGTGAGGGCCGCTGACATGCTGTACGCGCTGTGCTGGGCGGACTGGCGGAGTGGAATTCACCGGGAGGGGCATTCGGACAGTAGTCAAAGCTCAAAATCCAAGGAACTGCCGTTCCCCCTCAAGTGAGTCTGGGGCAGGTGGGTCTGGGGCAGGTGAGAGAGAGGATCATAGGTGGTTTTGGGTCACACGAGTGGCATAGGCAGGCAAGTAGGTCTATGGCAGAAGAGGTTGCTCCCACCCTAGGCGTCCCACGCGTTCTGTAGCAGCCACCCTATCTTGTCTTCTTCGGCCAAAGATATATTTGGTGGTTCAACATCCTTACTCACGCACGCATGCCCATACTTCCCCTCCTCGTCTCCCCGTCTTCCAGCTTTGCAGAGCGACTGGTGTTGGCATGGCGCAACCTCTCGCTGTTTTCAGCACCACGACGGCATCACAGGAGACGTGTGACTTGCCTTGACATACGTCCCCGCCCCACCCCACCCCACCCCACCCTTTCCCACCCCTCCTCGCTTCCCCCGTCTTCCAGCTTTGCGGAGCGACTGGTGTTAGCGCGGCGCAACCTGGCTCTCTTTCAGCACCACGACGGCATCACAGGGGGTGTGTGAGGCGTCTTACCATCCTCACACCCAGTCACCCCCCTTTGCTCCCCCTCCTCGCTTCACCTTAACCGCCCTTGATCAGCTTTGCAGAGCGGTTGGTATTGGCGCGGCGCAACCTGGCTCTTCTCCAGCACCACGACGGCATCACGGGGAACGCATGAGGTGCCTTCACATCCCCATTCCCTCTCCCTGCTCCCTGCGTCTTCCAGCTTTGCAGAGCGATTGGTGTTAGCGCGGCGCAACCTGGCTCTCTTCCAGCACCACGATGGTATCACGGGCACGGCAAAGCACCACGTGGTGAAGGACTATAGCCTGAGAATGCACCAGGCACTCACAGACCTCAGTGTGAGTCAAGTCAATGCCAGACAATGCAAGTCAGCGAAGGTCAATTGGGGTCATCAGGAAGCACCATGTGGTGAAGGACTATAGCCTCCGGATGCACCAGGCGCTCTCAGACCTCAGTGTGAGTCAACGCAGGTCAACACAAGTCAATGCAGGCCAACAGTGAGTAAGGTAGTGCAAAGCAGCATGTGGTGAAGGACTATAGCTTCAGGATGCACCAGGCGCTGACAGACGTCAGTGTGATTCCAGCTGCACTGAGCTGCGAATCTGCGAAGCTGATTAAGGGTGAAGACCTCCTTCCTTCCCTCTGTTTCCTCATCTCCTCTCTTCTCTCCCCTCTCTTCTTTGTTCTTCTTCCTCCCCTCCCACCTATCACAGGACTTCACGTGTGCTGCTGTTACTGCCCTTTTGCTCAAAGCCCCCAACCCTTATGCACTGACCGCCACCGCTCTCAACTCCTCTGCATCCCAGCAGCCACCACCTCTCGAAGCAGAGCGGTGGCGGTCAGTGCATGACGGTCCGTGGGAGCGGAGAGTGGTGGGGAGCGGTGTGGAGGGGGAAGAAGGGGCAGGGGCAAGGAGAGTGGTTGTGTTCAATCCGTTGGAGGAGGAAAGGAGGGAGGTGAGTGAGGGGAGGAGAGATGAGTGAGGGGAGGGGAGATGAGTGAGGGGAGGGGAGATGAGTGAGGGGAGGAGAGATGAGTGAGGGGAGGAGAGATGAGTGAGGGGAGGAGGGCGTTGAGTGAGGAAAATGGGAGGTCAATGAGAGAAAGGAGGTGTGTTAATTTTGGGAAATCCCGAAATGCTTAGGGTTTAGGGTCTTTGTCAATCCCACCTTCAAGTATCCGATCGCGTTGATTCCTCCTTGCTGCTTTCTTTCGTTCATCAAATGAGTCTTACTCTCGCTGAGACTTCTAAAAAATCGTCTCTCTTTCTCTCCATTTCTCTCTTACTCTCTATTTCTCTCTTGCTCGCCCCTTTTCCTCAACCCCCAGATCATTTCCATCCTCGTCAAATCTCCTGCCGTTGCAATCATCGGGCAGCACGGAAAATGTCTCCCCGGGCAGCTGCTGCCCGAATGGTCCAAAGGCAACATGAGCCTAACCCCCTCCTCCGGCCGACACCGTCTTTTCTGGGAAGCTTCCGTGCCACCCCTAGGCCTGACCACCTATTTCATAGCACCCCACGCTGCTGTGCCTGCCTGCCCTGCACCTGTGCTGTCGTCTGTAGAGGTGTTTAACCCCCCGCCGGGGTTTGTGTGTCCGGAGCCGTATGTGTGTGAGCTGGTGGAGGGAAGGGAGGAGGGAGGGGAGGAGGGAGGGGAGGAGGGAGGGGAGGAGGGGCATGGTAAAGGAGAGCGGGATGATGCTGCTGCTGCTGCTGGCGATTCTGCTGCGGACACTGCTGGCAATGATGACGTCTTTTCCATATCGAACGGCCACTACCGAGTGGAGTTGGGGGGCATGGATGGGCTAATCAAAGGCATTCAGGTGAGATGCTCGTGCTGGTGCTGGTGCTGGTGCTGGTGCTGCAATGCACTCATGCCACGCTCATGTGAAGCTTATTTTACTTGTTCTGCTATCTCTCCTCCTCCTCTCCTCCTCTTACCCCAGTTGCCCCACATGCGAGCCCCTCTGCCTGTCAGCGAGCAATTCAGCCTCTATGTTATCTCACGGGGGGCTAACTCTTTCTTGCTTCACCCACCCTCTCCCCCTCCCGGCTCCCCCTCCCTTCCCCCATTTTTTCCCCAGCTCCCCCACATGCGAGCCCCTCTGCCTCTCAGCGAGCAGTTCGCCCTCTATGCCAGCTCGGGGGGAGCCTATCTCTTTTGTTACACATCCTGTCCCCTTTTCCAATCCCTACTTACCATCTCCCCCTTTCTTCCCCATCTCCCCTTCGCACCAGCTCCCCCACATGCAAGCCCCTCTGCCTGTGAGCGAGAAGTTCGCCCTCTATGCCAGCTCGGGGGGAGCCTATCTCTTCCTGCCACATGGCACCGCCGTTCCTATAGTGAAGGAGCAGCAGCGGGGAAGGCAGGTGGGAACGGATAAGGAAAGACATGGGGAGAGAAGCGGGAGTGGGTATGGGGGAGGCAGGGAGGAGGAGAGTGGGGGGAAGGGTTCTGAGAGAGTTAGTGGGGAGAGAAAGGGGAAGGGATATGGAAGATTTGAAGGGGGGCGAGGGGGAAGTGGTGTGTATGGGATGGTGAAAGGGGAGGTGGGAGGTTCTACCTCTCTAGTGTGCAGAGGGCCGCTAGTGGAGGAGGTGCATACACGGTTCAGATTCACCCATCCGAATGATTGGACGGCTGAGATGCAAGCTGAGGATATTGACCCTTGGGCAGAGGGGAAGGGGGAGGGGGAGGAGGGTGGAAAGGGACAGGGGGAAGCGGGGGCTGAGGGGGAGGGGAAGGGGGAGGGGGAAGGGAGACGGGGAGGGGACTGGTCTGTTGATGTGGTAAAGGAAGGTCTCTCTGCTACTGCACGTAAGCTGCTGGTTGATGGTAACGAGGCAGATAGTAGCGAGGATGAAGCAGACGTTAGTGGAAGTGGGCATGAGGAGGTTGTCCAGGGAACAAGTGAGGGAGCGAGTGAGGGAGTGACTGAGGGAGTGACTGAGGGAGTGACTGAGGGAGTGACTGAGGGAGTGAGTGAGGGAGTGACTGAGGGAGTGAGTGAGGGAGTGACTGAGGGAGTGAGTGAGGGAGCGAGTGAGGGAGCGAGTGAGGGAGCGAGTGAGGGAGTGAGTGAGGGAGGGAGCGAGGGAGGGAGTGAGGGAGGGAATGAGGGCGTGAGTGAGGGAGCGATAGAGGGAACGAGTGAGGGAGTGAGTGAGGGAGCGAGCGAGGGAGCGAGTGAGGGAGAGAGTGAGGGAGCGAGTGAGAGAGTGAGTGAAGGAGTGAGTGAGGAGGAGTTGGACGTGTTGCATCCACGGCATTTTGAGGGAAAGGAATCGGATAATGGGTTGGTGTGGCTGACTGGGGAGCAGCAGCGAGTGTTTGGTAAGCTGCTGGAGCAGACGCAGAGGGAGGAGGAGCAGGGGCAGGGTGGGGAGGAGATTCAGAGAGCGAGTGAGGGAGGGAGCGAGGGAGGGAGTGAGGGAGGGAATGAGGGCGTGAGTGAGGGAGCGATAGAGGGAACGAGTGAGGGAGCGAGTGAGGGAGCGAGCGAGGGAGCGAGTGAGGGAGAGAGTGAGGGAGCGAGTGAGAGAGTGAGTGAAGGAGTGAGTGAGGAGGAGTTGGACGTGTTGCATCCACGGCATTTTGAGGGAAAGGAATCGGATAATGGGTTGGTGTGGCTGACTGGGGAGCAGCAGCGAGTGTTTGGTAAGCTGCTGGAGCAGACGCAGAGGGAGGAGGAGCAGGGGCAGGGTGGGGAGGAGATTCAGAGAGCGAGTGAGGGAGGGAGCGAGGGAGGGAGTGAGGGAGGGAATGAGGGCGTGAGTGAGGGAGCGATAGAGGGAACGAGTGAGGGAGCGAGTGAGGGAGCGAGCGAGGGAGCGAGTGAGGGAGAGAGTGAGGGAGCGAGTGAGAGAGTGAGTGAAGGAGTGAGTGAGGAGGAGTTGGACGTGTTGCATCCACGGCATTTTGAGGGAAAGGAATCGGATAATGGGTTGGTGTGGCTGACTGGGGAGCAGCAGCGAGTGTTTGGTAAGCTGCTGGAGCAGACGCAGAGGGAAGGGGAAGGGGAGGGGCAGGGGGAGGAGGAGATTCAGAGAGGGAGCGAGGGAGTGAGGGAGGGAGGGAGCGAGGGAAGGAATGAGGGGGTGAGTGGGGGAGCGAGTGATGAAGCGATTGAGGGAGCGAGCGAGGGGAAGAGCAGAGGAGCGAATGAGGGAGTGAGTGAGGGAGTGAGTGAGGGAGCGAGTGAGGAGGAGTTAGATGTATTGCATCCGCGGCATTTCGAGGGGAAGGAATCGGAAAATGGGTTGGTGTGGCTGACAGGGGAGCAGCAGCGAGTGTTTGGTAAGCTGCTGGAGCAGACGCAGAGGGACGAAGAGCAGGGGCAGCGGGACAAGGGGACTCAGCACACGCAGCAGCAAGAAGTGACAGAAGGCGAGCGGTTGGCTACAATACAGAGTGGTGAACAAGCAAAACTTCCGGCTGAACTTGCATCACCAAACCTTGCATCACCGAACCTTGCATCACCAAACCTTGCATCACCGAACCTTGCATCGGCACTTTCAGCACTGGAGAAGCGGCGAGATGAGCGGAGGAAGCAGTGGTTGAGATGGATGCAGAGGGTGCGGGAGAAGCAAAGGGGCACACAAGGAGGGGGACGGCCGCCGTGGATAGACGACGATTTCAACTACACACTGCTGTCGCCTGCTGATGCTGCCAGCCAAGAGGGGCTGGATGCGTTGTTTAAAGGAGACGGGCATGGGGAGGAGGAGGGGGAGGGGGCTGGGGAGAGGAGAGGGGCTGGACAGAGGTGGAGGGAGAGTGTGGCTAGGGAGAGGAGGGAGTGGATTGAGGCGAGGCGCAGGCAGAGAGGAGGGTTTGGTGCTGCGATGGGAGTTGATGAACCTGAGGGGCCAGAAGAGTCAGAGGAAGACGATCAACCAGACGGTATTGACCAACAGTCCCACCCCTCATTCCCGCAGCTGCAGCAGCAGCAAAGTAACAACCAGCAGCAGGAGAAGCAGTCCCA